AAGGATTCACGCTCCTGAAACTGTAAACTCTTCGGCAAGCCGCCGCAGTTGATCCTGGCACCCGAGAACATCTGGGAATGATAATCTGCGAGGCAGAGAAACCCTTGTGTCTTTGAAAATTGCGTACACCGTAGTTTTGCCGAGGGCATAGTGCCGCATCTCATCTAAGTAGCTGCCTCCGGCAAGAAGGCGCAGTGTTATGCCCAATCTTGCGGCGGGTTTCACAGTGTTTCGTGCTTTTCGTCTCTTTAGGTCACCACCCAACATCTCCAGCAGACCATAAAGCAATGCCTACTCATTCGAAATGCACGCTCGAATTCTTCATTGCTATATAATGCAGTACTCTCTTCGAAACTTATATGCGTTCTTTGCCTTTCAGCGTTCACCCGCCGTGGCGCAACCCGGTGTGCATTTGAAATTTGCTCGAGTCGCAATTGTGCAAAGGGGGGGGGGGGGATGTTCGCGCCGTTCGGTGTGGGGCAGCTCATGCGGTTTGCGGGCATCGGCCAACGAACAGATGGAGTGGGGAGATAGACAGGGGGACAGATGGACAGATGGACAGATGGACAGATGGACTTGTACGGTAAATTTAATTCAGGAATGGAGGCAGTGCATTGGTTGAGGTACGTGTACCGCAATCTTTCAATCTCGATAAAACAGATACTCTCGCGTCTGAGATCAGTCAGTATCACACCACTCTGTTGCAACGGTGGAAATAGCAAAGTGCTAAGTGCAACGTATAAGATGAGATACAGCAGCAATCTCGTTCACCTTCTCCGCCTCCCTCTCAACCCACCAACCCACCATGCGTCTGCCCGGCAACGGTCAAGTCGTCCGCGCAGCCGCCGTCTCGCCCGGCGCCATAGTCATCATCGTCATCGGCTCCATCGTCGCCGCCATCCTCATCGCCGTAATCTTCGTGCAACTTTACTACCTCTGCTTCGACAGACACCACAAGTGAACGACATGGACCACTGTATGCGCCGGTGCTTTGCGCCGTCCCAATCGGCGCACTACCGATCTCCACGCAGCCGAAGACCACCGAGTTTGCTTGGAATCATCACGAAACCAACGGCGGCCGACGTGCACCCGCGGCAAAGTACTCTGCGCACCCCCGCGCACACAAACATATGTAACGCAACCGTGCCTTGCCATTCTGCAACGCGCAGAGTCGTAGTTGGAGGACACTACTGGTGGTCTTGCCGAGGCACATACCAAACGCCTGTTTGACCACCGCCGGAGGTGCGCGCAGTCCGGATGTACCTCTTGCTGAATGGTGGCCACCGCGCCTTTCCACGCGTTCTGTATATACATGCGCGTGCTCGTTTCAGCGACCGGCGTACAGGGGAGTCCAGGCCCGATAGAGAGAACAAGGTCGCTTGGCTGCGCCACTGTTTGACAGCGCAGCAATCTGTGCGACATATTCTGCCACATGCACCAGGTTAGCCAAGTCATCAGCTACTGCAAATCTGCAGTGCGACCGTGGGAAGACGCTCATCCGAGAAATGGTGTCCAAAACTGACTTTGTAAAGTTTCGATTTAATAATGTATATATTTTTGCAAAAAAAAGCTGGCCCATATCAGGTCAACTTGCCGATCGTCTCTAGACACTAGCAAGGGGGGGGGGGGGGGGGGGGGGGGGAATGAGGTGGCGGAGGGAATTGCCGGTCGACAGAAGACGGAGACGTCCGTTTGTCTGGGAGCACGGGCTTGAAAACGCTCGTAGTCGACAGCAATGACACAGACATACGTATCTAAATTTTCCAAATAAATTGATTTGTGCAAGTGATGCCACTTTTTTGTCTTGCGACTCTGCACCTCCTGTGAACCCCCCCAAAATTAAATGCATTATAGAATTAACAATTCATTGTATTATAATATAGCGTGCCTTTCTCGAGCTGATCTTGATATCTGAGATCAGCTTGAGAAAGGCACGCTATACATACAGTGCCGAAAAAAGTATAGGGACAGCATCAAAACTCACATTGCTGGCATACAGTATTGTAAAGGTCAAATTTGAGGTCCGTCTAGAACTGTAAAAGCAACGAGGAGACTGTGATGCCAAGAACTGGTCCGATGCCTCCGACCACCGGTCGTGGCGGAGGCGACGGCGCCTTTATTTCCTACTGAGTAGATAGCGCCTTATTTGCATTGTCCTATTTGTACTGTGTCTTATCTGGATGGAACCACAGAGACCGAATCTGGGGTCGAATTTAAAGATCGAGAGCTAATTCACATGATATTTATAGAAACCATATTTATGGGTGTTCGAAAGTATAAGGTACAGCGCATGTCTTTCACAACTTCATCGCTCGTAGTACTTCGTCGGACCTCCCTTTGCCATTACACACTCAAACCACCGCTTTTTGCATGGAACGGACAAGCTTTTCCAGGCATTCTTCTGAAACCTCGTCCCACGCTTCCACTCTAAAAGCTCATCCACGTCCTTAAATTGACGTTGGTGTGCTTAAAACGTTCGCACTGGGATGCTCCATATATTCTCGATAGGATTCAGGTCAGGTAACCTGGCAGGCCACTTTAAGAGAGAATTTTCCTCCTCGTCAAACCACTGAAAAGTACGTCTAGCGCGGTGTATGGATGTACCATCTTGCATAAACACCCAACTTGGACCCATTTCTTGATCCACAAACGGCAAAAGATACTCCAATGTATCTATATATTTAATGGCATCCTGATATCCATTTACAACGGCGAGCTCGCACTTCTCAGTACCAGAAAATTCGCCCCAAACCATTAAAAGAATCCCCAACCTGCTGCCGTTTTGAGAACATCGGCTTGTCGGTACGTATATCGTGCCAATAGTACCCAAACCCATCCGGCCCGTTCAAGTTGAATTTCTTCTCGTCTGAGCACACCACATTCATCCAATTGGACACCGTCCAAGTGACCTTCCCGCGACACCACTGCTCTCATGCAATTTTATGTCTCGGGACCACTATCGGAGCGGGGATCATTTTGTAGTACTGAAAAGTTGGCGCCGCGGCTAGGATACCTCGCACAGTAGATGGAGTTACAGGAAGACTAAGGGTCTTAACAAATTCTGGAGAACACAAATGCCCTTTGTGGGCTTCGGGCAAGAGACCACGTCGAGCCGTGGCGGTGCGTTTGGAGGCCCTACCCTGCCTTTTCGTCTTCCCATACACTCCCGGATTCCTTAAAACGTGGCCGCGACGTTACAAGAGCGCGAGAGATGAGCTGCAATTCGCCTAATTGTCCAATTTTTGAGACGAAGAGCCTGCATCTGCCCTTGTTCATGCGGGGTCAGATGCGTACCGCGAGGCATTTTTGCTGTGTCGAAGTGAGCTACCGCATGTTTTGTGCTTTCGGCTTTCTTTTGAATGCGTCTAGTCTCTTTTGCCAGTCTTTTCGCGGGAGATACTGCATTGTGTAGCGCGGGGTTTTAAAGAAACTGCTGTGTACCTTACACTGTCGAACACCCATAAATAAGGGTTCTATAAATATCATGTGAATGAGCTCTCGATCTTTAAATCTGACGCCAGATCTGGTCTCGTCGTTGCTTTTGCAGTTCTAGACGTACCTCAAACTTTGGCCTTTGCAATACTGTATGCCAGCAATGTGAGTATTAATGCTGCCCCTATACAGGCGGGGACGCGCAATAGTGCCGCTTTCATTATTGTCACCCTCGAATTAGTGCCGCAAAACCGGCAGACACAGGTTCTGCCACGTGTATTGGACGACGTCGTCATCGCCCACTCCTCATGCGCCTCAGCTCAATTGGTGATGGCCTCTCACTCAAAGACCGTAACATGATTCCTGAAAAGATCGCCAAAGCGAAGCGTAACTTGACGAGCCTTACGATTGCACAGAAAATCGAGGTCGGTCATCTGCTGCAGGTCTGGAATGCGAATACCACAGGTATGCGTCAGTTCAAAATCTCAGAGCGAACCGTCTGAAATATCAAACGCTCTCTTCCTTTACTCCAACAAGTTGTGACCAACACCGCTACAACGCTCGGCCAAAGACTTTGCACCCTGCGATGTGGAGGAATGGATTGAGATCGAGACTAATGAGCTTGTGGCAAAACCTTCTATTAGTGATGCTTGCGATTCAATACATTATGGTGGAGAGCTACAGAATCAGTCTGCCAGTGATGCTATGATGGATGATTGTGTGGCAGAAGGCGAGTGTGAAATTACGGAGAGGCGGACCGTACCGAGTGCTGTAGTGTTAGCAAGGTTGTTTGGGTCTTTGGAGAGTCTGAGTGTGCAGTGCGATGTGAGCAATGCCTTGTCGCACTTGAGGTCCGCAAAAC